GTGTGTGTGTCTCTGTGTGTATGGAGTGAGGGGTAAGGGTGTGGAAAGGCGATGAAGCGGTAGGTCTTTGGGGGGGGTGTTTGTGTGTGTGTCTCTGTGTGTATGGAGTGGGGGGTGAGGGTGTGGAAAGGCGATGAAGACGTAGATCTTTGGGGGGGGGGTACCATATATATATATATATCATTGGTACATAATATACAGTACATAAAGAACATTATACAAACGATACATTATGCAAAAGATGTGTACACATATGCAAATATGCAGTGTATATATGTGTACGTTGATGTTGTGTAGTATGCAATGAAGAACATGTAAGATATCATGTAATGTAAAATGTCACATACAGTTGCATGAGAGAGTATAATGTTATAAAGCCATAACCGAGTATGAGATAACACAATGTGAGATAACGCCCCACAATCGAATGGAAGCTGCACGCTGCACCCCGTCCCTCTACCCCGAACCCCAAAGTGAGCAACAAGACCTGAGCTTCAGAGATCCACAACATAGGTTCAGAACGTTAAACCCCAATGCCCCCTAAACCCTAATAAATCCCAAGCTCTAAGCCCTAACTGCAACCCGAAGCCCTGAAGCCCAGAGAGAGAGAGAACCTCGCAGGCTGAGACATCGCTCCAGGCCACCACAGAAGAACTCGGTTCTGCCCTGAGCTTTCCAGTGGTGCTCAAGGATTGGTGGCACTTCCCTGCTTGTTCTACGGTTTGGGATTTTGTGTTTAGGGTCTAGGGGCTTCAGAACCTAAGCCACCGTTTACAAGCGAACATCAAGGTCGGATGATGGCCCGTGCGCCATATTTCAGTTACCGCAGCCTAGGGTGAGCTGACGAGACCAGATGACAGCCACATAAATCAAGGCGCCTGCAACCCTTTCGTTGGTTCTCAGGATGAGTTAAGTCTTCCAGACTCTAAAGCCCACACCAAGCCTATCCTACAACCCCTGCCGTACTCTGAAACCCCAAACCCTGAACCCTAAACCCTAATCCCTAAACCCCAAACAGTGGACCCTAAAGCATGATGCTGGCTCTTTCATGCCTGGCCCCTCAGCCTCGAAGCCCAGAAACCTCCCAAAACACAAGCCACGCTGTGAAGTCCTAAACAACCCCTTAAGTATAGGTTTTTTAAGAAAACCTATGCACTATAGTCCTAAACAACCCCTTAAGTGTAGGTTTTTTTTTAAAAAAAACCTATGCAATATAGTCCTAAACAGCCCCCCAAAACCCTCCCGGAGCGTTTTTGTGGCAGGACGCAAAGCGGCTGTCCTGACCTCGGCCTCTGGATGAAGCGCCATAAGTTTACGGTTCGGCGCTTCGGGCTTAGGGTGTTGGGATTGTCATGACGTCCGAGGTTCAGAGTTGCTGAGGTGCAAGTGGCTGAAAAACAGCCAGTCAAAGATGCCTGAGTGAAGTGGGACTTTGAACATGATTCTGATGGTCAGCTCGGAGCCAGAATTAAGACGCGATGTATGAATATGTAATGTACCACGAGGCTCGGGATGATGATGATGATGATGATGATGACGATGTCTGATGATGGTGGTGATGATGATGATGGTGATGAGAATGGATATGACGATCGTGGTGATGCTGTTTTCACGCAGGAAGCCAAGAGTGGCTGCATTGTCGTGGTGAGGGTGAGTGTGATTGAGAGTGTGATGCTTCTTATTTCTGGTGCTTGCGCTGGTGCTGCCCTTGCGATTTATTGCCATATTGCCAGAGCCCCTTAGCCTCAAAAAGCAACGCAGGCCTCGGCAATGAAGTCTCTGTCGGACCGTGTCACAGAGATGGGGATGGAGGCTCGCAGCGCGCGGGGAAGGACGAAGTTGGGGACGACCTCAGCAGCGATTGAAAACGCGAACATCCTAATGAATGAGTTGGGATTCCAAGCCTTTCATCAACCACTGCCTGTGCCATCACTTTCATTGCTGGATGCTACTACCAGTAACAGTAGCAGTAGCAGCAGAAGTAGCAGAGTAGTAGTAGTAGTAGTAGTAGTAGTAGCAGTAGCAGTAGCAGTAGCAGTAGCAGTAGCAGTAGTAGTAGCAGAGTAGTAGTGGTAGTAGTCGTAGTAGTAGTAGTAGTAGTAGTAGTAATAGTACTAGTGGTAGTGGTAGTGGTAGTGGTAGTGGTAGTGGTAGTGGTAGTGGTAGTGGTAGTGGTAGTGGTGGTGGTGGTGGTGTGGTAGTAGTAGTAGCAGCAGCAGCAGCAGCAGCAGTTTTGGTACTGCTCCTTGTGCTGGTGGTTGGTGAACAGTTGCCGTGCTTTTCGCAGTGTTTAGACACGATCCTTCCTGTTGTTTTTATCATTGGTTACAAGATGGCTGGTACAGTGTGTTTTTTTCAGTCACTCTGGGCCAGGCTCACACGCAAAGCACTCGCTTGCAAATGGCACTGGACGAGCATACTGGCCATATCGGTCTGAGCCTCGGGCAAAACTCCTGAACCCCTAACGCCCAAAACCCGACGTCCTAAGCCCTGCACCCGAAACCTCAAGCCCAAAACCCTGAAACCCAACGCTCCAAACCCCGAAAGCACGCAGGGGGCTCAGGCGGGCTTTGCTGCGCGAGTCCCTGGTAGAAATCTGGAGCTCAAGGCTTCAGATCCTTCATGGTGGCCATCAAAAAAGCTATGGGTGAGTATCGTAACCTTCAGTATATTGTAACAATATTTTTTCAACACATAAGAGCAACTTTCAGTCGAAAATTCCAGCATATCATCGCAGGTTTCAGTATATGGTAGTATATTTTTTTCTTCCTCTCAGGAGCCTTGGAGAAGGAGACCCAGAAGTTGGAGAGGCAGTATGAGATCGAACGCTTTCGCCTCAGTTGCCCTGGGGTAGGTAACATATTGGGGTCTTGACAAGTAGAGCACATTTTTTTTAATGGTGTATGTCATAGGAATAGTATAGCTATAAAAGGAGCCTCAACTAAGGAATAATTAGAATCAATAGAACTGAGTGCGAACCAGCACGGAGGGCCACAGGGTTTGGGGAAAGTACCTTGCAGGTGGTCATCTCCACGTTGGACACGCATTCTATGAATACAGAATATTACTTGTTTTTGTTTTGTTCTCGCTCCTTCTTCTCGATTGGGGTGCTTGCTGCTCCTGTCTTGTACATCTTGGTCTTAATGGTCGTGAAGAGGACTCGATGCTACTCCCGTTCTTGGTCGGGTTGACTCGCCTCGCTTGCGGGGCTTCAGGCTCGCGCACATCAAACTGCATCATTGCCCTGGAGAAGGCAGGGGACTCCATGGACACCAGCAGTTCAAGCAGTTGTCATGGTGGTAGTGCTGTTGGTGGCAGTCGTTGTGTAGTCGTAGTCATCGTCGGCACCGACAACGTCAATTCCGTTGCCGGTGACGCTGCTTCTCGTCGTAGCCGCGTGTCTCAACACTGCATCAGATTCTTGCCAATGCAGGAGTTGGCAACCAAGACGAATGCTGCAGAAAGCGACGCGACCAACGCCCGTCTTTCTACTGCTACGGCTGCCATCCAGAGGCAGATGCATGTTCGTAGAGTGATCTGCCGTCGCTTCGGTACAGTTTTCAGTGGTGGTCATCAAGACCATAACTGCAGACTGTTCTTGACAGTATCACGACGATCGCTGCTATCATTCTTAGTTCTTCCAGGAAGATCTAAGCAGCAGAGCCTGTGCTTCTGGATACTCCTGGTCTGGAGGTTGGAGACGATGGCAACCACCAAGGTGTCCTCTGATACCTTCGAAAAGTTGCAGGCGGCATGGCAGCCAGAAGACGAGTCGTGAGTAGTGAGTCTTTGCAGTATATAGTAGCTAGGAAGGGGTGCCGGCTTGCCGAGATGCCTCTAGATCTCGGCAGCTTCTGCATTGACGGTCTGCCAGGGGCGCCTGGATCAGATGGAGGTGGAACTGACATTGGCATCCCAAAATGTCAAAGTTCCTATATCCAGATCCTCTACTGAGAAACTTGAGACGCGAGCTACCGCATCCGTATTCGAAGTGCCTCATTCCTTCCAATGCATTCTGTGTGCGTGTGTGTGCGTGCGCTCTTGGGGTCTTGGGGTAGGCTCCTAGAGCTTGTTCAGTTTTGCATGTTGGCTCATACTGATGCAAACAACTCCCCTGCATGCACAGACATGTGTGAGTGTATGTGCATATCTTTGTGTGTACATATGTACCTGTACGTACGGACTGACAGATAGTTGCATAGATAGCGAGACTAGACGTGCGCTTACGCTTAGTCGCTTCGCTGGACTGTGGCATCAGACTGTCGTGCTTTGAGCTGCTGCCGGCAAATGGGCGGAGAGAGAGAGAGAGAGAGAGATATATATATATATGTATGTATATCTATATATAGAGACATACGTGTATGTCAGTGTATGTATGTGTACTTATATATGTATATATGTTCTTATGTTTAAATGGTTAGTTAGAGAGACAGGTAGAAGGACAGCATTGAGTTGTGATATTGAACCTCACGTGTTGCCCTGCAGTTTAATACTTATCGTTTCGTTTGTCATCCCTTCACTTCTGTTCAAAACGCGCGAAAGTGTACCATCGAACCTTATACTGGACTCGCTGGACTAGACCATATCGTGTCATCGCATGTTTGCCCCGTTAAGTTGCCGTTAAGAATGTTAAGAATGCAGTCGTAAACAAAGGTTCATCCCGAACTCTGTTGCATCATACCCTTCGATGTATGCTCTTTTGAGCGGGCGACTTCTCAGCTTCTTTCTGAAGCCGAAGCCATTCACCCCGTTGCTTCGATGCAGGTGACACTGATCCGCAAAGCCGACACCGAGACCTTGGGCAAGGCAGCACAGCAGGTCACCGAGCAGGCTGGGCAGGGTTGGTGGGGGTTACTTGTTGCAGGTGTTTTGAGTGTCAATCTGAATAAAAAGCAAGAACAAACTCCATCAATGGGTAGATTCGGGTCTATTGAAAAGAAGGATGGATAGGTGGCTCGGTAGCTAGCCAGCTGGAGCAATGACACGACGTCCTAAACCCTAAACCCCTTAAGCCTAGACCCTAAACAGCTAAACCCTATATCCTAAACCCCTTAACCCTAAACCCTAACCCTAAACCCCTGAAGCCCCTATCCGATGAGGCTCGACAGTTGGAGTCTGTCGCCAGCCATGTGCGCGACCAGGGGAGCAAGCTTGAGGCTGCGGTGTGAAGTTTTGGGGAGGGTAGGGTCAGAAGCTTCGGGGCAATGCTGTTTCGGAGGTTTAAGTTTAAGGGCTGACACGTGTCTTTGAAGCTAAAGCCTCCGCCCCCTGAGTGCGACAGCCGAAACTCAGACCGTCTAAACTGCGCGCTTTGAGGGAGCTTAGCTGCAGTTATACAGCCATCAAACCAGAGCCATAGCATCGTGGAAACACCCGCGAGAGCCCACAACAACCCTCCAGAAAAGGAGAACCCCATGAACACCCTAAGAAAACCTGAGACCCACCCCAGCCAGAACCAAAAGGACCTTGTAAACCTGAAGCCGTAAAGCACCCTAAGCCCTGAACCTTAAAAAAACCCTAAAACCCTAAAGCCCCAAACTTTAAAAGCCCTAAGCCCTTGAAGCCTAAATCCAGAAGCGAAACCTCGCAGTTGGATGGAGGTGCTGGAAGGCCGCTCGGAGACCTTGAAGGAACAGATCCTGCAGAAAGCCGAGTCAAGCAATGTGCCTTGGATGGATTGGGTTTCGGGCTTTCCAGGGTTTAGGGACAAGTTTGGGTTTTGGGGCTGTCAGGGTTTAGGGTTTAGGGTTTAGTAGGGTTTTGGGTTGTTGTTCGGTTCAGGGGTTTTTAGGGGCTTGAAGGGGAGTTTCACAGGGTGATGTGGGCCTTGAGTGGTTTTCTGTTCCGGGCCCCGGTGCTGGGTTCCAGGGTTTGGAGTTTGGCAGTGTGTAGGGTATGGGATTGTGCCTTAAACCTTAAGCCCTAAACTAAACCCTAAGCCTTAACCCTAAGCCCTAAACGGGACAAGTTGATTAAGAGGTGGTTCCGAGAGCTGCTTTTCCTCGGCGAGGCTCACGCCTACGCCCAAAGCTCTGAGAATATCGGCATCCGGATACCAACATCTTTCCGTAGATTTTTTTGGGGTTTGGGGTTTAGGGTTTCATTAGGATTCCTTGATCTAGTTTTACTTTAAGATGTTTGTTATTAGGATTCCTGCATATAGTTTCACTTTAAGATGTTTCGAAAGCCCTTCTTCAAGCCCCTGAAGTGACCTCGTTCGCCCTGCTTTTGTGAGGTGTACACCGTTGATGGAGTGGATGGAATGCTCCGTTCCTACTACAGCCGACGACCCGGTTATTTCGCACTTAGCTTGGAACATCTGGCATACTAAGTTCTGGGTTTTGAGGGGATTGGGTGTGGGGTTGGTGTTTCAACGCTTCGAAAGAGTAAACCTTGCTTGTAGTCATGAATCTCACCAGGAAGACGGTCAAGATTGGTAAGTCAAGCTTCCCCGTCTCAGATCGCGAAGAGATGGATGCATTGCTGCCAGCGTCTGAGATTTATGGTGCACCACGAATCTTCAGCAGATCCATGATCGACTGCCTTCAACCCCTGTTGCTCTCTCTGCGCTTCTTCGGCTTCTGAGCTTTCTTAGCATCTTGCGGTGAGCTGGGAAGCCCGAGGTCGCGCGTTTGGTGGCGCCTTGGAGATGTTGCGAAAGCGCCGGTCTCTACTCCGAAGCCACCGACCAGGCTGCCTGAACCCTTAATTAGCTTTCATTTAGGGCCGAACCCCGACACCCCAAAGCAAAGAAGCCCTGAAAATGCTGAAGTCTGAACCGTGAAAACCTGAAAGCCCTGAACCCCCCACTCCTGAACCACCCAAGTGCCCCCAGAGCCTGAGCCTGGAGGTGAACCTGGAGGAGTGGGCTGGAGGCCTCCGTGCCGCGGCGACGATATAATATAGGGGCCTGAATAGTTGAGATCAGGCCTTTGGGGGTATGGTATACCATAAATTAAATATGTACGGGACTGCAGGGGTCAGTATGACGAGTCAAAATATCCATGCTGACAGCAAAAACCGCTACGAGCCGACCCTGAGCTGCTATCTGCTGTTCTTTGCAAAACTGATGGGAGACCTGATGAGGAGGTCTTAGCCCATCCCACAACCGATAGGGGCCGACCCCTACTTCTCGCGCTCTCTCTCTCTCTCTCTATATATATATATATGTGGAACACGATTTTTCGACTGCTACTGGCATGTATCCGCACAAGTCTCGCCCTTCTCAACATGATCTTGATTGCTCTTCTTCCTAGAAGTATGCTGCAGTTAAGTACCGCAGCTGTGGCCGGCGTGTCTAATGCTCGAGCCCTTGGTGGTACTATCACTACTACCGGCGAACAATAATCACAGTATTTGGGCCGACAGAATACTGCTTGTGTCAAGAAACATGATGGAACATAGCATACTAAATACTACCAGCAGCATCGGCAGCGAACGTCAAGTGTGAGGAGTCTACCAAGAGTCTCCATTGTTGACATGAAGAGCTTTAGGCAAGCATGGTCATGTTTACGGCGTTCTTACCATCACTGGAGATCGCGACTGGGACCACTTCTAAGCCCCCTCAGAAGCGACGGCTAGTGTTCAATGGCAAGCCGGAGCCACAACGGTATCCTCTGTGAACCCTTTTTGCGTGCTGCGAGCAGGTCCAAGGCACCAAATTCCGAAGCCTTTCTGCGGCCAAGGTAGCTCGGCTGCGAGGGCACTTCGCAAGTCAACACACGAGATGTTGACTGGTCCAGGCATTCCAACAGGGAGCCAGGTCCATATCATCCCTGCCATGTCTGTGGCCTGCTCCTTTTCCATGACCATCTCATGTAGAGAAGCTCACTTATTTGTCAAGAGCGGTTTTGAAGCGTCATATGGTGCACCCATGTCGCGGGCACAGATGGCTGAGAGGTGAGCTGGGAGACTTGTATCAGGAACTCCGGAGCTCAAAGCCGTAGACTGGGGCTTTCTATCCGCATGTGACCATGATATTATTCGTAGTCAAAGATGCTCTCATATAATATGTAGTGTAGTATCTAACATAGATTATGTCGTGTATAATATAATCGAATAACATGTATCCGATCATGCTCCTGGAGAGTCTACGCCTGACCCAAACGACCTCGAATCGAACCATGAAAGCAAAGGGCGTGAGCTCAAGAGAAAGAAGCTTATGCCATCGTACCCAGTGCTTCCGATTCAGCTCATACACCTTACCTTCGAAAGCCATAGCTTATTTGTTGTAGAGTCTTATGATAAAGCACGAATATGGACTTTACAAGGACCCTGCAAAAGTAGGTTTTGGTAGGTGAAGGTAGAAGCCAACAGCATACTCTCCAGGAGTAGAAGTTTCGGCATGTCCCAGCCCTCAGCAGTTTGACCAGCAGTCTCACCCGGTCTGCTGGAACACCTCCTTCGACGAGGCCCGCACGAAATTCTAAGATTCAGGGTGGAGCCTTCATACTCCTGCTGAATGGCAGAATCCTGCATTGTCCAGAATGTCTTCGAGCTAAACCCTAATTAAACCCTAAACCTGGGAGTCTACCATCATTCCCAAAGCTTGAGAGTATTTGATGGAATGGAGAACTCTGGCCCATCAACGCTCGTGGTAGTTGCAGGATCGAGACATCAGTAGCGCTTTCGAAGTTCTCATGTTTTCGGTAAGGATTCAGGATCTGGGGCGATTGGCATTTGCTCTTGTGGATTTAGGGCTTTCGGATTAGACCCTCGGCTGCAGGAGATGCAGTTGTGGTTATGGGTTGGGTATAAGATTTAGGGTTTAGGCTTCGGGTGCAGGAAATGAAATTAGGGACAGGAGGGTGTACAAATGAGATTTGCAGTCGTGCATAAGGATCCTTGTTGCCCTCAACCCTAAACCCCTAAACCCTAGGCACTAGAAAGAGAACCCCTGGTCATGTAGAAGAACCCTAAGTGCTTTCTGAGTTCCGAGGTTTGCCGGGCTCTGATTCATCTGCGAGTTGATTGGGTTTAGGGTTTTGGGTTGAGTTAGGGTTTTGGGTGTTTAGGGTTTGGCAAGAAGCTGTAGACGGAAATAGGATCCGACCCAGATTTTGACAGTGGCAGCACCAACTCGCCAGTGCCAGCACTCGCGCTGGCGCCAACAGCAATGATGACATTATCATCAGCTCCTCCATTGCTTTCCTTCCCTCTCATCCCATCATGGCATTCCTTCGTTGCTTCTCCGGCAGGTGCAACAGTTCCCCGCAGAAGTGGGGCCTTTGCGCAAAACGTCGACGCGTTGCGCCGATCATCACAGCTTTCTGGATGAGGACACTCGTAGCCGTCGTAGCCGGGAAACGACAGGTATAAGATCAATGATCGGAGCACACAATTCAAGCTTTCACTGCGACCTGCTGCAGACATCTTGGGATTCCATCTTGCTGTTCTAACGTGTCGGTGTTGGTACATTGCATCCCAAGTATGATGTTTCGTCTGCAGAAGGCATGATTGACAGGCACAAAGAGTGACATGACTGCGGTTGGACTATGTTCCTGGGTAGAACCTCTCGTTTGAGAAGGGTTCCCCTAATGGGACAGGTCCGTAGAAAGCTTGTTTGAAACATGCACTGCAAGACACAGTTGCCAGTCATGTCCTGCAAGAAAGGAAGTACGCTGCGACAATGAACAGCAAGAAAAGCCATGTCGGATTCTTCTTAGAAGGGATTCCCCGTTAGATGACCCAGAGTCACGAGAGGATGTTGTTAAACCCTAAACCCTCGGTAAAGGCGACTGGGAAAAAGGTGCTGAAGCAAAAAGCCCTAAACCCTAAACCCTTAATCCCCAAGCCCTAAACAGTTGTCTGAAGGTATGAAAGGTGCACGAAGCTCGACAAGGTGGATCAGTCTGTCTTGTCGGCCCGGCATTGACCAGAAAAGGGCTGCTCGGGGTGGGTTTAGGGTTTTAGGGGTTTAGGCTCAGGGGTTCAGGGGCTCAGGGTTTAGGGCTTAGAATTTATGGGTTTGGGGCTTTGGGTTTAGTGATTCCGGGTTTAGGCCGTAGGGTGTTTAGGGTTTAGGGTTTATCTGAAGGGATTGCTCCAAGACCTTCTGACAGCACTTGCGAACATCGGAGAGCCAAAATTGCAGGCATGTCTTCCGAGTTCACCGTTGAAGGCAGCATGGAGTTTGGGGAAATCTTGTCGTTGTGTTGAATCGAAGTCCTGGAGAAGGAATCCGCAAAGGGCATTGGTTTGCGGGACAGGACGAGATGCCCTTCAAGATTCATTTTGCTCGGGTTTTTGTTGGTTTCGGTTCTTGGAATCGGGGTCACATGGTACATGGAGTTCAGAAGCTGATCTCCTTGTGCGTTTATTCTTTTCGGCTGGAATCACCAGCGAATCATCGGGGTTTAGGGTTTTCGGGTTTAGGTTCAGTGTGGCTTCTGTGGCTTCTGTAGGGTCCATACTCCTTCATCGCATGTCCACGTCTGAATCTCGAGGCTGCCAGCCTCTCAGGTTGAGAGTTTAGGATTTAGGTGCGCTTCCTCTGTTGCATCGAGCACGTGGACCCCGAATGTGAATGTGATTTGCATCTGCGAGTATTTCTCAACTGGCAGGCCAAGTTGGCCCAAAAAGCAGGTGTTCGTGGTGCTGCACATGTCCATATGAATGCAAACTGCTCGCTGCAAAGCCATCACTGCCACCATGACCTCGCATCGAAGCTGCATGGGGGGCACTTTGCAACTTGACGGAAGACTCTCACAAGCAGCTATCTCCAAGCTATACACAGAAAAACAAGCGTGTCTTTGAAGGAAGCAGGTTATCGTTCTTACTGCAATCATTGTTATGCAACTATTGTTATTCTGACTATTATTGATATTCTTAATATTACTGTTATGTTTACTATTATTGTGATTCTTACGATTATGATTATGATGATGATTATACAAGCGATTATTGTCAACCTCATTACTAAAGTTTAGATTACTCGTTTGCTACTGTTGTTAATCGAGCATGGCGAAGAACGCCGAGCAGCTGGCCCTGCCAGCCGGGCTCAGCTCGCTTAGGGGTCAGGGTTGTCAATATTTTTGCTGGGGTTGAAAGTTTGGGGCTTTTGGGGGTTTAAGGTTGGGAACTTAGGGTTGCAGGGTTTAGGGCTTGTTGGGTTTTTAATTTTGGGCTTTGGGCTTATAGGGTTTTGGGTTGTAGGGTTCAGGGCTTCAGGGTTGTCGGGTTGTTAGGTTTAGGGTTTACGGTTTAGAGAACAGACTCAGTTTTTTAGCATCATGGGTGGCTGATGCCTACGGCAGGGTTTTACGTCTATAGCAGAACTACATAAGCACAGATCGTGTCTACTTTGCTGGTTTCTGAGTTTGAGAGTGAACCGTTTATGGTATGGCTTTCAGACACACGGGTTAAGGTTCAAGGTTTAGGGTTTAGGGTTTAGGGCCTAAGTTTAGGGAGGCTTCTTCGGGTTCATAGGGCTTTACATAGAGTCTTGGCTTGCAGGAGATTTCAGGGCTTAAGGCGTTCAGGGCTTCAGAGTCTTCTGGTTTGGGGGCTGTGAAGTTCATGAAAGCCTCCGGGGGTGAGAAGGGTCTTGGGGGTTTGGGAGTTGAGGGCTTTGGGGTTTAAGGTTTAGGGTTGTTTTCATCCTTTGGGAGCTTCACCCAGAGAAGAGCTTAGACCTTCGGACTTAGGTAGGGTTTAGGGTGCCAAGTGAAGGAAAGAGGTTGCTGGAGGAAGCGTCCTCCTGCTTGGTAGCTGTGGGGGCCTAAAAGCTATGTTGGTGGTTCCTTATCTTAATAAGAGGAGTATCATGGGCGCCAGAACCCTCTTCTAAATATTCAGGCCCCTATATGGGGGTTTAGGGTTTAGGCTGCTTCGGTAGAGATACCCTTCTTCCGTG